TGACTTAAAATGTCACCATTAGGCATCACCGTGTACAACCTGTTATTGACTAAATGTCACTGTCGCAAGGCGACCTCACTTCCTGAAATCATAGATGAAACATAAGCGTCATTTGCTCATGTAAAACAGTGCCATGAGCGATACAAAAAAATAAAAGGTGCATGCGATAACATAAATTGCACATCCGGAAGATAAGAAAATTTTAAGCCTGTACTTTAAAAAATGTTAGTGCAATTCCCAGTACAGTCTAGCAGGCGGGTGGGGGGGGATGGAGTCGAGAAAGACAGAGGTGATGATGATGATGATGATGATGATGATGATGATGTGATGATCATATGATGATGATGATGATGATGATGAGAATGAGTTGATGATGGTGATGAGATGATGATGATGAAGATGAGAAGGAGGAACAGAGAGAGGTGGAAGGGAGGATTTGGGTGAAGGGTGGGAGAGAGGGTAGAGGAGGAAAGAACAAGAAGAAGAACCGAAAAATGAGGGGAAAAGAGGAGGAGAACGATTAGAAGGAGAAGGAGGAAATTCACTCCACCTTCTTTCCCCCTCTCACCCAGATGCAAATGAGGTCATGGCTGGCTATTGACAGAAATGGAACACCCACGCCGTCACAGCAAATTTGTCTGAAAATTGGATTAGTTCAGAGATTGAACACAAGCAGTCAGATCACATGACTGAACACAGGTCAGTTGACTGGACGTTGGTCAGTGATTATACACACTGGTCATGTGACTTGACATAAGTTTGCCAGGACAGGACATTAGCTGTCAGTGACTATACACACTGGTCATGTGACTTGACATTTAAGTCCACATGGTTGGACATGGGTCTGCGACTGGCCAAAACATCACACTTGGTAAATAAATGTGAGCCGTGCTGACAAAACGAGTTACTTCTTGCAATCAACAAGTGGAGATATTGTCCAAAAATCAACACTAGGGTCAAATTTGTAGATTTTCTATCGAAGCCATATTCTTTAAGTATAACATGCCTTTTATTATTTCATACTTGTAAACTATAAAAACTTCACCTATAATAATAAGTGTAATGTATCAATTGCCATAGGGCTCAAATCCCAGAAGTAACTCATTTTGTCAGCACGCTACACAAATGAGGCTGGAACATTAATTCTATAAGGACGTAGCAAATACATATATGTAATAATAATTTGTCCAATCAGCAGAAAAGACCAAAGTAAAGGCAATGTTGCGGCACATTTGGAACCATCATACACATTCATCAGAAATGTAATATTTCATAGTAAAGTATGCATGCTGTTGTCTGAGTTTTTCACAATCACCATGACAATGCAATGACAATCTTCATTCATCTCGTTTTTAAATTTCAGGGAAAGAATGCACAGCTGTATAATCTGTAAGTATGAGTTAAGTATGCTTTTATTTCAAAACGCCCAAAAACTGCGTCTCCTCTCCACGTTTTGTTGAATGACCACAATGCACATTCTCAATTAGTTAACTCACCACTCACCACCTACCCATGCCGCACAATATGCTGCGGGACAAGCTCTTTATTTTAGTAAGAGTAAAGGCACTTGCAACACAATAAGGTCATATAAGTGCCGAAGAATAGATGTGTTACAAGAGAGTAACATACACAAAAAAGGAGAAGGAGAGATAAGAACGATAGAGGTTTTATAGGAAAGAAGGAGCAAACCATACCAGAGCACCCATCAGCCACCAACAGACCAAGTTCAGTTTTAATTGCCTTCCTTAGTTGAAGCCCCTGTCTATGATTTTTTCTTTTCCCCTTGCTGTATTACCACAGTTATATTCAAAATTCTGAAATGAGTTAGTTGGTAAGTGTTTTACGGCGCTCGCAACTGCATAAGGTCAAATGAGCTTGCTGAGTTAGTTGTGTCAGTGATTCTTTTAAATACACATTTGATTAACCTTATCCGCACCTCGTGTTTTACTATCGTATCCATACGACGTGGGGAACTCAGTGCCATCCCTTTCCAAAGAGGAAATTTGCTCGTTAATCCGATCCGTACGCTTGGCATAGCAGTCTGTCAAAACGTCTTTTTGAGTAATACTGAAAGTTTCAAAGAGATCGTCGTACTAGAAGTACTCTAAAAAGTGAAGAATACAACCACAGGGGTACAAAATGACCCCAGGGCGTACGGATAGGGTTAAACAAGCAGGTACACAGGAGATAATAATCAGAAATATTACGGGTGGGCAGTGAGTTACAACATCTCATTTGCACATTACATTAATCATATGACCAAATAGCAATTGTGATTATTATGATACATTGCACATGAGTCTGCGCAATAAAGCTGTCTGACACATGATAATAAAGCTAGCACTTAAAGCAAAACTCACACTTTGGCACCAAACATCACACTCACTTGGAACACAATCCTGTACAGTCAAGGATGCACTGTTGGTTTAGTTAGATGATACAAAGCTGAGCAAACATTGTAAAAGACCCTGGTTCATCACCCTTAAAAAGAGGTATTTTTCAGTACCAGTTGTAAATGAATTTCTAAACGTTCTCAATAAACTTCATTTGATAAAGTAGAAAAGATATCAGTAGTATTATGTTCTAACCATGAAGCTGGAAGAAATAAGTCAACTTGTTATCCCCCAAAAAAATTTTTTTTAAGTTATAAAAACACCTCTGCTGAGACTGATCTGCTGGTTTTCAACAAAATTGTCCGTCCCCGGGATTTTATGCACCCTGCATAATTTAGTAAAATTAGATAATTTTTTGAATAATTTCTGATTATTTTCCTTTATCATTCTTTGTTAAAATTAACAGAATCGCATAATTTCACATTTTTGGGCTCAGTTTGCATAATTTCATAATTTTTTTTGCATAAAACCGCGGGGACAAAATTGTGGGGTAAGCAAGCACTGCTATTAGGTCAGCATGTTACGTACTTGGTTTAGCAAAATATTTCAGGAAAAACAAAACGCCGTTTTCTTCTTTTATAAAAAAAATTACTGTAACTGAATTATGTATTTTTCCTTGGGGGTTTTTTCTACGCTTAGAATTAAAATTTCAACAAAAAAAATTTTGAGCATATCAAACCGATACCAAATATTGAGAAGCTGAAGTAAAAAAAAAAAAAAAAAGAAGAAACAAATTTAGGACTTAGTACATCTGAACAGCCGCCCAACAATAAACAGGATAAAAGTTCTGTGAGCTATCTTTTGCATCTTCCCTAATAGTTAAGATCAGAAAGTTTATTTTCAATGTTTGAAAAACGTCCAGAAACCAGCCACATGATTAGAGCATGACACTACTGATAATGTGGTAAAAAAATCAGAGGTGTCCCCTCTCACACAACCTTCCAAAATGGACAAAAGACTTTTTAAACCATATCATACACAGGTATATTATACACAAGTTAAATCATATTCAGGTATATCATACACAGGTATCTCATACACAGGTACATCATACACAGGTATATCATACACAGGTATATCATACACAGGTATCTCATACACAGGTATATCATACACAGGTAATACTGAGGAATGTATGTCGAGCACAAGAAACGGACGCAATATGGAATGGAACAAATAAGACATATATATATATAATGCAATGAAGCAATAATACGAGTGTCGATTTTGAAGCTTGGAGGTAATGAACCCGAGTTAAAAGTTCTTTACCTTGTTAAATATCACAAGAATAAACTCTGATACAACAAACACATTCACACATAGTGAAACCAAACACTCCGCCGAAAGTAGAAACTTTTTTTATGAACATCAACGACAAGAAATATTCAGATTCTTGAAATATCAACCATTTAAAAAAAAATAAAACAAAATAAACTTTTCGTAGTGATCCTTTTCATTAGCCTATTTACAGAAAATAATATGAATTTTTGTTTTGCGAAAGAAGAAATTGTCATTACCGGTATATGCAAGCCTTGGCAGTTTGCATCTAAACATATGTGTCACGACGCAGTGGAATCAGGCGTTCGTCAATTTTTGGGCATGTGGAGTTATTGGTATCGCATTGAAGCTTGTTCATTTTTCTTGCTTTCGATGAAAGAGTAGTCATTTATCTTGGTTATATGTCGAGATATTTGCGATAGAACGAGGTGGGGTTGCCTGGTCTCAGAGGTAAAATTATTGGGGAAAATGGCCGCCAAAGTTTGATTATTTACAAAGCCTCAGAGTCAGCGGAAACTAACAATTTACATTTTTTTAGCCTTTAATTAACATTTTTCAATATAATTTACAATGGAATGAGCAGGTGTTGAGCCAAAAAAACAAATTTCCATGAAAATTGTCAAACCACGGAAAAGTGTCAGTTTCTTTAGTTTCATTATTTGGACGATTGCCTGATTTCACCACGATGCATCACATATATATAGAAATCATTTTCACAGAGTGGGTTATTCTTAGTGTACAGATCAGCTCTGCCACCCCTTCCTTCCTCTGTCCGCATACATTTACCACTTGGCTCAGACATATTTCAAAGGCAAACACATAATTTTTAATAATACTGGCTCTCCACTTCTCTCTCCCTCTCTTTCTATGATCTTTCTCACCTCCTTCTCTCCCATGTGTCCTCTCTTTTTCTCTCTCTCTCTTTCTCCCTCCCTCTCCTACTTATCTCCGGTGTCCTCCCTTCCTCTCTCTCTCTCTCTTCTGTCTCTCTCTCCTGCTTCTCTTATATGTCCTCCCTCCCTCTTTCTTTCTCTCTCTCCCTCCTTCTCTCTCTCTCTCTTTCTGTCTCTCTCTTCTGCTTCTCTCCTGTGTCCTTCTCCCTCTCTCTCTTTCTCTCTATCTCTCCACCACAGCATGTATGTTTACTCACACCATTATCCCCACCATAAAATCTCTGTCAGCTGTCATGAAACTCCTTCAACAAGATCTCTGCCTTACAGTCTGTCTTTGTCAGTCTATCTAGATCTACCAGTCCAGTCTGTCCATTGACATGTCTCTCATCAATAGCCCATCTGCCAGTCTGTCTTCCTTGTCCAATCTCCCCCCGCCCCCCCCCGAAAAAAACACAAAAAAACACAAAAAACACAAAAAACACCAGCATGGGCCTCGAGTCAGCCTTAGGTTCTATTCGGGTCATTTTTAGGCTCTGGTCAGTCCAAGTTTCTTGTCAGTACTAAGTCCTGGTCACTCTTAGGGACCGTTCACAAACAACGTCGGCTAAAATTGGGCCGAGGATGACCACTCCCCCTCCTTCCCATTGTCATCTTGTCATCTTTCCCTGGTTTTAGTTAACCCTTGGTTTTAGGTCTGTCCTTGGTTTTGGCTAGTTCTGGTCAGTCTTATGAGCTTATCAGACTTGGACAGCAGTCAGTCCTGGGTTTTTGTCAGTCCTAAGCTCTGGTCAGTCCTGGGTACCGGTCAGTCCTAAGCTCTGGTTAGTCCTAAGCTCTGGTCAGTCCAGGGTACTGGTCAGTCCTAGGTAGGCCCTGCTGGTCAGTCTTGAGTCCTGGGCTCTGGTCAGTCCTAAGCTCTGGTCAGTCTTGAGTCCTGGGCTCTGGTCAGTCTTAAGCTCTGGTCAGTCCTAAATCTCGAGCTCTGGTCAGTCTTAAGTCCTGGGCTCTGGTCAGTTGTGGGTAGGCCCTGCTGGTCAGTCCTAAGCTCCGGTAAGTCTTAAGTTCTAAGGTCTGGTAAGTCCTAAGTCCTAAGCTCTGGTCAGTCCTAAGTTCTGGGCTCTGGTCAGTCCTAAGCTCTGGTCAGTCCTAAATCCCGAGCTCTGGTCAGTCCTAAGTCCCGAGCTCTGGTCAGTCCTAAGTCCTGGGCTCTGGTCAGTCCTAAGCTCTGGTCAGTCCTAAGTCCTGGGCTCTGGTCAGTCCTAAGCTCTGGTCAGTCTTAAGTCCTGGGCTCTGGTCAGTCCTAAGCTCAGAACATTCCTAAGGCCCCTTACAGTCGCTGCAGTCCACCATGTCAGTGACGTACTCCTCCACCTGCATGGTGGTCTCCGAGATGTTGAACTTGCGTTGTATGGCGCGCGACGCCAGCTTGAGGACTCTGTGCGGGTCGGAGCGCTTGTCTGTGGACAGAGACAGTCATAATATGGTTACGGAAAATATGTGAGGCAGCGAGGTGAAATCAGGCGCTCGTCAAAATAAAGAAACTGGCATTTTCCACAGGTTTGGGAATTTTTATAGAATTTTTGTTTTTTGGCTCAACACCTTTGAAGATCATGCCCTTTAAAGAACACATTTCTGCGTGGATTATATTGAAAAACGTTGATTAAAGGCATAAAAGAAGCAAATTTTAAATTTCCACAGACTCTCAAGCTAAGGAAATAACTCACTTTGGAGGCCATTTTCTCCGCTAACTTTACCTCTGAAACCAACCGACCCCCACCTCCTTCAATCCCCAATATCTTGACTTGTATCCAAGATATACGAATATTTTTTTCATCAAAAGTAAGGCAAATGGACAGGCTTTAAAAATGACACCAACAACTCTGTATGCCCCAAAATTTACGAGCGCCTGATTTCACCATGTCGTGACACATATGCAGTCCAGCACGCACAAAGCGAAACTCGCCAGATGCGAAAATCTTTTTGTTATGTGCGAATTTTGCAATGTACAAATATTAAATACAAAGAACAAATATCACCACCTCCACCTCAACCAATACCCATTCACAAACATATATCACACATCCCCCTCCTCCCCCCCCCCCCCCAAAAAAAAAATTTTTTTAAAATAACAAAACAAAACAACCCCCCCCCCCCCAAAAAAAAAAAAAATACAACAAAAAAAAAAAAAACAACCCACCCACAAACCATCCTCCTACAGTAGACATAAAAAACAGTACTACAGCAAACTGTTGTTGATAACTAAGGCATCAATTGGTCGCTTTTAAGCACAAGGGGGCTATCCCGATAAACGCTGTTTTGAGAAAATCGAAGTTAAAGTTTTTGGATCTTTATTCATTTTCTTTAAAAGACAAGGAGGGTCTTCTCTATAACGAAACAAATATACATATCAGTGAAACTAAACTTCTCCTATAGGAAGGGCAATGCCCACTTTTGGTGTAGGTCAAGACTTCTGGAAACCCCTGAAATCTGGTTAGCCCGCTTATCCTAAAAAGTGACCAATTATTTGAGAGTGTGCGGGGGAACTGACCGATAGCTAGATGCACAGACAGGGCCACCTTGTCCATGGTGAGTGACCAGACCCTCAGGTTGTGGATGTCCAGCACCCCGGGAATCTCAAAGAACGTGTCGCGCACCTCGGCAAAATTGATGCCTCGAGGGGTACCTGGAGGGAAGAGACATGGAGTGAGATTAAAGGGATAATAAGTTTGTCTAGATTTTTAGTTGGGACACAATGTACTGTTTGTTAACTCTTCCAGTCCCAGCCATTTTTGTGCACTCCATGACCCCAGTCCCAGCCAATACAGCAGTATTTCAGAATCAGAGGTATGCATTCAAGGTAAAAGAACAAATATTATGAAAATTAGTTTAATTAGGTTCTCTAATTTAGAAAAATATTCAATTTCAATACACCCCAAAACTGAGAATATACACGCTTGGGATGGTGGGGGGTACAAGCTGAAAATGTTGTAGAGTTAGTCAGCTAAAAAAGTATTGCGTTTATAACCTTTAAACTCTGCACATATTATCATGATAAGATGTAAATCTGGGTAATATACAGGGTTTTTCCCCAGACAACTTATCGATAAGAAAAAAAAGCAGGCCTCTCCATTTAAAAAAAATTTTTTTTTAATTTAACCATCTAAAATACAGAAATGTAAAAATTCCATTTTAAAAAAAAGGTTAATTTTTTGGTAAAATAAAGTTGCCAGTTACCTAGATTTACACAAAAGTGTAGAATTTTTATCTTCTTTAAGTGGAATGTTTTTCAGCTGCACTTACTCTGCATTTTGAGTTTATTTTCAAGATGGCCACCATTACCATAACAACATAGACATTTACACAATATTTTAAAACAGATTTATCTTGTCCTTGCTATACCGAGTAATATAGGAAAGTTTTGAATTTATAAGCCCTACTAATTGCAAAGTAATATATATGTCAGCCACCTGTTCCCTTAACTAAAAAGAAAGATAATAATAATGCTTAAGTGCTTCTGCTGGATGTTATGTCCCTTTCAACTTGGGTTATATATGAAAAGTAGAGGTAAAGCCCATCTCCTCAATGATCTTATCTGTGTTGATTGGGGGGGGGTTAATAATACCTAAGTTGAAAAATAAAAATGTTTTTTTTTCTACCTTCCATAAGCACGACCACGATATCCCTCACCATGGTGTGTAGTGACCAGGACAAACAGGGAGAACAGGAATGTGCAGATGGGGTCGGCGATCTTCCACAACATCATGATTACCAGTTCAGTAAATTAACGACTAGACTACCAATGCCACTTAACCAAAAATATAGATAATAATAATAACGTTTCGCTTGGCGTTTCCTCCCGGATGTTATATCCCTTTCAACATGGGCTGGACCTGAAACGCAGGGTCTAAGCCTGCCTCCTAAATATCTAAATTGAGTCGATACGGGTGTAAAAATACCTAGATCTGAATAAAATTAGAGAATTATTCTACCTTCCATGATCTAAATTTAGTCGATGCGGGTCTAAAAATACCTAGATCTGAATACAATTAGAAAATTGCTCTCTCTACCTTCCATAAGCACAACCACGATATCCCTCATGATGGTGACTGTAGTGACCAGGACAAACAGGGAGAACATGAACGTGCAGATTGGGTCGGCGATCTTCCACTCCGGCTGGAAAAGACAGGACGAAAGATATTATAGTTATTTTTTTGTAATGGAGCTCACTCATACTTTAACATCATAATGAAGATATTAAGAACGCCTGTGACCCCTTACCCCCTCCCTTTTCAACTCTTTTTCTCTATCTTTTTCTTTTTGTCTATCTCTACTATTGCTCTCTGTGTCTCTCTTTTTCTCTATGTCTGTTTGTTTCCATCCATCCTTTCATTCATCCATCCATCCGCCTATCTATATATCTAACTATCCCTCTATATCTCTTTATCTATCTATCTATCTATCTTAGACATAATCACAAACACACACACACACAAACACACAAGCAAAAAGAACGAATAACTGTCATTAATTTACGGTTAAAGGTATAATATTACTTAGCAAGTCTAACAACACAACACTTCCCCCACCCTCACTCTGCACTTCATCAACCAGGCCGTGTTTCCTTCACACCCATCACGGTATTTTAGTAGAGGTTTTTCGACGCTCGCAACCGCATACGGTCACATGAGTGCCAGAAGATTAGAAGTGTTGCAAGAGAGTAACAAACATAAAAAGGAGGGAGGGGAGAAAAGGACGATAGATGTTTGATAGGAAAGATGGAGCAAACGACACCAGAGCACCCCCCAACCACCCACATACCCATCACCAACCTTGAAGTAGATGATGAAGGCTGCAACCAGCACCCCCACACTCTGAAACAGATCTCCGATCACGTGAATGAACGCAGCCTTGACATTGATGTTGGAGTTGTGGCTGTGACCGTGCGACTCGCTACTCTCATCGCTGGCGTCAGCACCCAAGAGCGGAGTGTTCGAATCCACAACAACGCCAATATTGTTCCCTCGTTCCATGTTGTCCACACTGCCGTAAGACGGCGTGGCGTTGCTCGACGCTAGAGGTGCTGAAGGTCGCCGATGACCTTGACTGTGACCATGACCATGACCCCCGTGGGAGTGACCTTGACCTCCATGGGAGTGTCCGTGACCCCCACCTCCGTGACTGTGGGTGTGCTGGTGGAGCGTGGTACCCAGGCTGGGAGAAATATGGATCAGGACAATGTCACAGAGGTACTGAGAATATTTAAGTGCATAAAAAAATATGTGTCACGACGTGGTGGAATCACGTGCTCGTCAATTTTTGAGTATGAGGAGTTATTGATATCTCCTGAAAGCTTGTTCATTTGCCTTGCTTTCAGAGAAATAATATCCGTCTACGTAGAATAGAAGTAGAGATATTTGTGACTGAAGGAGGGGGGGGGGGGTTGCCTGGTTTCAGACGTAAAATTATTTTATTGAGAAAATGGCTGATATCATGTTTGATAACTTCCACAGCTTGAGGGTCCTTGGAAAAAGAACATTTACATTTTTTGTGCCTTTATTCAATGTTTTCCAGTAAAATCCACACAGAAATGAGTTTTTAATTAGACAAAAAAGGTTCTGCGACAAAAAGAGAAAATAAAACAATTGCCCAACTGCCAGAAAAGAACCGTTTTCTTCCATTTCATTATTTTGACGAGCGCCTGATTTCACCAAGATGCCTCACATATAATAGCAAACAGTATATTTTATATACACATACATGCTTCCACGTCGATCACAACAATATCACAGATGTACTGGAAAAATTTCACTAGTGCATTAAAAAAAAATATAATAGCTAACATAGTATTGCATATACACATACATGCTTCCACTCCCACATAAATGCATCTGTTTGCAAACTGACTGACCAACACATGCACAATTACAGAATAATCCACGTAATCACTTATATCGACAGTGATCAGCATGACTGTATTCTATGATAAATTTCCCACAACCTATCCTGGCACACACACATAACGACACACACACACACATACACCTCCCCCACATACACCCTCATATCTCCACTCACAGTATATTGAAAGCGACCCCAGTGGCGGCAGTGATGAGCATGACAGTAGCGTCTATGGTGTAGTCGTCATCAATGACTCTGTTCACGGCTGAATAGACCAGGATGCCCGTCAGCACCCATAGCATCAGGATGGAGGTGAACGCTCCAAGGATCTCTGTTGTGTAAAGAGGTGAGGCATTGGGTGAGTGTTAGTGGTCTCTAGGAGGAGAACGATGAGAAGGAAGGGAGAGAAAAAGGAGGAGGAGGAAGAGGAGGAGGAGGAGGAAGGATGAAGAAAAGGAGGAGGAGGAGGATGAGGAGGAGGAGGAGGAGGAGGAGGAGGAGGAAAACGGGGTTCGCAGCCAAGTAGACCAGAATGCCGGTCAGTACCCACAGCATCCGGATGGAGGTGAACGCTCCAAGGATCTCTGATGTATAAAGAGAAGGGGAAGGTGAGATATTGTGAGGAGGAGGAGGAAGAAGAGGAGGAGGAGAAGGAGGATAGTATTTGCAATGAAATTACGTAGAATAAGGCCTAAGATTTGAGGTGTCGCTAGAGAGTAACATACAAAAAAAAGAAGTGATAAGGATAATTGATGTTGGGTTGGAAAGAAGGAGCAAACCACACCAGAGCAGTTGCCAACCCGCCCAGGAGGAGGAAGAGGGGTAAGAGGAAAAAGAGGTGAAGGAGGTGAAGAAGAAGAAGTTGGCTCACATATGAATAGGCCAGGAAACCTATCTACACCCATTTGAGGTGTTTGGGGGGGGGGGGGGGGGGG